AATTTACTGTTTCTTCAGATGCTCTGTCCAGGCTGTGATTGATTTATTTCTAGACCAAGCCAAACCAAGATTTCCTTGTCAAAAGGAATTTTGGGGGCATAATCCATCAAAAGATTTCTATCACTGACATACACAGATACCCAGTAGGAATAATTGGTGGTGGTTAAAGGCAAAATAATGGTAGCATCTCTACACAGGGTGACAAGACAGCCCAATATTAGGGTCTGTGTCATATATATGAAACTATCCCTCTCCTCTGGAAAAAAAAGTCTCCTGTACAACACTGCTGCGTCTAGATTGGCATGATTTTCCGGAAATGCTTGTAATGGAAAAGTTTTCCGTTAAAAGCATTTTCGGAACAGAGCATCTAGATTGGCATGGACGCTTTTCCGCAAAAGCACTTTTTGCAGAAAAGCGTCTGTGCCAATCTAGATGCGCTTTTCCACAAAAAAGCTCCAATTGCCATTTTCGCGATTGGGGCTTTTTTGTGGAAAACAAATCGGAGCTGTCTACACTGGCCCTTTTGCGCAAAAGCTTTGCGCAAAAGGGACTTTTGCCTGAACGGGAGCAGAATAGTATTTCCACAAAAAGCACTGATTTCTTACAGTAGGAAGTCAGTGCTTTTGTGGAAATTCAAGCGGCCAGTGTAGACAGCTGGCAAGTTTTTCCGGAAAAGCGGCTGATTTTCTAGAAAAACTGGTCAGTCTAGACACAGCCCACCTGTGTCTACAGCTGCTGGAAGAGGCAGGTCCTAGTTGCTTTCACTTTCTCAATTAAGGTTTATTCAGATGCACACAGAGTATATTTAATAAAGCCAGTGGAGACTAGCAGCCGCCACTGACCCACTGCCAAATACCTGGGCTGTAGTGGCTCTGCCTGCACTCTGCCTCTTGCTCTCCTTGCTCTGCCCCCACCACTGAATCCGTCCTCTCCTCTGTTACACTGAGGGAAGCTTATACCTAAATTTGCATCTGATTATTATTAATTAAGCCTCAGTGGAAGTTGCAGATACCACCAAACCTCATCTATCATAGGTGTTTGCTGACCCAAGAATGCCACAGTAAATAAAAACGTTGCTCACTTTAAAGGGGCCAAACCATATATTGTAAAAGTTTTAAAAGCACAACAAGGAAAAGCAGGTAAACACTTTTTATCCCAACCCCAAGAAGGAAAGAAGATAGAAAAGTACCCCACAAACACTAGGTTACACAAAATACAATAATTACTCAGTCCAGTAGCTGACAGTGGGTGAGAAGCTCCTGTCTCTCAAACCTTTGGCTAATTTAAAGCCTCTGGTGAAAGACAAGAAGGAGATCCCTCGCAGCGGTGACCCTCTGTGGTGCTCTTGAACTCAAGCCTTAGGCTCCTTCCGAGCCCTTAGCGAGGAACAGAGAGGCGATCCCTCGGAGACCCTGGGGACGGGTATGGTGCAGGCAGGTAGTGATGATCCTCGTCTGGGGCCTTCTGCTCCTAGGCACAGGAATCACCGGTGGAGACTTGCCTGGCGCTGATCTTCAGGTGGCTTCTGCTCTTCAACAGGAACCGATGATAGACAGCTACCTATCCCTAATACCTGGAAACAAAACCTGACTCGACGCTCCCGAGGAAGGTGAAAATTTGTTCCTCTTGGTTTCTGAGGACAGGACATGGAGTAATGGGCTTAAAGTGCAGCAGGGGAGGTTTAGATTGGACATTAGGAAAAAATTCCTAACTGTCAGGGTGGTCAAATATTGGAATAAATTGCCAAGGGAGGTGGTGGAATCTCCCTCTCTGGAGATATTTAAGAACAGGTTAGATAGACATCTGTCAGGGATGGTGTACACGGAGCTTGGTCCTGCCTTGAGGGCGGGGGGCTGGACTCGATGACCTCTCGAGGTCCCTTCCAGTCCTATTATTTTATGATTCTATGATTCTATACGGACAAGTACCCGGCCGCTGGTGCGGTGAACCGACGCACTAATCCTAATGGACACATTCGATGACGAGAAGCTAGCTAACCCTAACTAACTAACAGAGACTGACAGGGTGACACAAACACAAGCAAGGTGGAAAAGGCGCGAACAAAAACAGACAACTGTAAGCCAGGTCTTCAAAGCACCCTTCTCATAAATATTCATCATCTTTATCTTTACAATCATTGGACCCTGTACACGAAAACAAGGGTCCCTGATTGGGTGCTTTGATAAACAAGTTGTAACAGCCTGGATCAGTGTGCTGCATGCAGCAGCACAGTGTGACATGTGCAGCTACTTGCGTGCCATGTGCAACATTCCTAGAAACTTCTAACTGAATATGAATACAGCTAATACATATTCATAACTAAAGATACATATTAATGAGGTGTCAAAGTGACAGGCTACACCTCCATTCCACCTCCATTGCTGGAGGTCCTTGCTGCTCACTTTGGCCCTCCTATCCTCCAGCCCTCCCCTGCAAGACTTCCCCTTCTCATCATGTCCCTCCTTACCCCTCAGCCCCTGTGGGGAGTGGAGATGGAGTAGAACAAGGACATAGGGAATAACAGGCAGTAGAGGCCTGGTTGTAGAAGAGGAGAGAAGGATCATGGCAGGCAATGGGTCCCTCATGACAGACAGGGAGACAGAAGGGCCATGAGAAGCAGCAGCAGGAAGAAGAGTGGAGAGGAGGCAGGGCCTAGGGCAGAGTATGGGTAGGGCCTCAAGTGGAAAAGAAAGGAAAGGTAGAAACTTCACACAGACATACACACACACACACGGTTTTATAGCATATTCTGGAATATATAAGAATGGAAAGCAAGCCTGCGGTCCCCGGGTTGAAGTCCTATTCTACAAATATTGATTTTTTTAAATTAAATAAGGTTTTTTTTTAAAAAATGAGTCACTAAAGACCTGAAAACCAGTCAATTTAGTTAAAAAATGACTTATCTGTACAGTCACAATATAATCCTAATAGACCCTCAATATAATCCTAATAGATGCTCTATGGAAATCTGAAGAACTACTTTAAAAGAAAGTTAAGGTACTTAAGTAAACTTCCTCAATGATAAAGCATCGGATATTAGAAGGGTAAATAATTCAAATATTAAACTTGTATTTCATACTACTGGGAATTTTTCTATACTGCAAAAGACTGAAAATCTAGTAACCTGGGATGAAGTCTTGGTCCCACTGAAGTCAATGGGAGTTTTGCAATCAACTATAATGAAGCCAGGATTTCATCCCTAGTTTATATGCACTGACTTTTCCAAGTACTTAGATTCTGGGCATATATCCTCTGCACTATTACAGTCACATGCAACAGGAGAATGTGCCAGTGACACTAATAGGAAAACAGCAATGAAGCTGATTAAAGCACAATATCAAACAAGTCATTTAATGAGGATACGTTTTGTACAAATTAACATTTAGAAGCCATCAATGCTGTTATCTATGTAAACTCCTATGGTTATGGTTTCAATATTCTGCTTTTCATTGTACAGCCTTTTATAATGTTTAAATAGAGATAATATAGAATGATGTAGAAAAAGAAATTGCACTGTCAGTTACAGCTCTGTAATAGACCCATTGGCAGTAATACTGTAAAATGCAGGTAGATTCGTTTTTTCAAGGATTCTCTCTCTTTCCTTTTTCTTCCATTCAGCTCACAAAAAAAAAAAAAAAAAAAAAAAAAAAAACCACCACCTTTTATCCTGGGAGGATTTGCATCTGGTTGAAGGCTGATTTTTCTGGTAATTGAAATGAGAAAGTGATTGAACCATCACTGATATATAGCTTAGATGAAGTCATATACCTCATACATTTTTTCAATGTGCAATATTTGTCTATCGAACATGATTTGAGAGAGGGTCTGTCACAAATCCAGAAGGAGCAGGAGAGGACCAAATGAAAGAAGATGATAAAAAACTGTAAAATTAGGTTGATTTTTCACACATACACAAATTGAGGAAAGAATAGGCTATAATAGATCCCCAAAGACACAGCATCTACAACTTTTGATTAATAGTACCGAACAATTTCCTTACTTCTAGACAAACAATAAATTAGCTTCTGCATATTTTTAGTTCTATATTTTCAGGGCCACAACTCTCCTTTTGCAGGTGGCTATTTCCAGTTTTAAAATGTCACCTTCAGTTTTGGACCTTTAGTTAAATTGTAGGTGCTTCTTTTGGAACTTGCACTTCACACTATTACACTGCAGGTGCACATTTTGAGTCTGAGTCTTTTTGAGAACATGTCCATTGAGGATCAAGGCTGGAATTGGTAACAATACCTCAGTGACTTAGACCTAGTTGCACAACACAAGTGAGTCATTCTGAGAGTCAGAGTACCTAACTTTTCACATCTGAATTTTCACAGAAAATTAAAATATCTGAAAATGACAAGAGAGAGAGAGATACAAGTCTGTAGCACTCACCTGGGCTGCGAGCAGCCCTGGATTCAGTCCCCCTGCTGTAATGACTAATTTGTTTATCACATGTGACACAGTGATGGGAAGCCTAAGCTAGTGAGTGGAGCATATGAGTGGCCCTTCTTCATCTCAGCAGTCTGAAAAATTGTAATACCCAAGATGGTCTCTTGGAATAAGGTAGTTTTGCTAAATGTTCTTGTGTACCTTGTGAATTTGTGAGGTATGCTGACTAAACTGCAACAATGCTTAACTGGATGCACAGGGAGCACATGCTCTCACATTCAATGTTGTGAGCAATCAGCACACACCTCACTTCACATGCCCTTGCTGTACATGAAAGTCACTTCACTAATACAGGTAGAAAAAAACCCATGCGGATAGAAACCAAAAGAATTTGGCAACCATGTGCATGGACAAAGGCAAACTAGATGTATTGTGGAACGCACATAGAACTCTGATGGGCCACAGGTTATATGTAATACCATCGGTGTAACAGCTTCAACAAGAGAGACTGAAGGAACTCCACAGAATGTCTCAGAGTTAAGTGACAGAGTACTACTGCACCTTCACCCTTGACTCCCTTTTGTGTGTACTTGCCTGTGGAGCATGGTCCAGTCAGTGACATTTGAGAATTAGACCATGCAAGGCCTGTCTTCCCCATGGTTTGTGAATCACTCTTGGGATTAGTCTCTGAGGGGTAGCCATGTTGCTCCGTATCTGTAAAAACAATAAGAAGTCCTGTGGTACCTTAAAGACTAAGGGTATGTCTACACCACAGAGTTAATTCAAGTTATCTTAATTCGAAACAGTTAAATCGAATTAAGCTAATTCAAATTAACACGTCTACCCACAAAATGCAGTTCAAAGTAGCATTTTGCTAATTTGAAATACTGAATCCACACTGACTGGACACAGAATCAGAGTTAAGGCCGGCCAGAACCAGGTCAGGCAGGGCATCAGGTCAGGAATGTCTGTGGATGGCTGCTGCCTGAGGCTATCTGATGCCTTTGCTGAAAGGGACACCCCTTTCTGCCCCCCGGGCAGCCATTTCTCAGGTGTCCCTGCTTGCTTGCCTGCCTCGATGAGGGACAGCAAAACATTTATGTCTCTGCGTGCTCTGATTGCCCTCACTCAGGACACCACAGCACTCTGCAACGTGGAGCCGGAACTGCCACTGGGCACTCTGGTGCTTCTTGTGGACGTGCTGCGAGCCTGGCTGCACTTTCTGCAGGATGCCATCCTGGAGGTCCATCGGGGGGCTGTCAGAATCCAGGAGGCCCTGCAGGAGAGCTTCCACCCAGAGGAGCACTAAGAGCCTCCCTGGTGTGCCCCATGGAGGGCTTGTGCCTCTTTCATCCCTCCTTCCACTTACCCTTCCCTAGCCCCCCTTCCTGATGTCAAATAAAAACACATTTCTTGCCAAAAACAAACTCTCTTTATTGACCAAAACTGGGGTGGGAATGAGAGTGGGAGAGGAGAGGGGGAAACCTGGGAGGAGGGAGCTGGAAGGGAGAGACAAGGGGAGGAAGGGGGAGGAGAAGTTACGGGTTGGGAGTCTCTCCGGACCAACTTGATTTTCATGCAAACCTGCTCCTGGGTTCGCGTGACCTTTGGTGGCCAGGCTGGCAGCTTTCCTGCCATAGACGGCTATATTCCTCTGTCTAGTGCAGAGATCATGAACGTTGGGGGCATCTCCCAAACCTGAGTATGGTCCACCCTGATCTCCGCCCTGGACCAGGAAGGCTCCCACCTTCTTTGGGCCCTGGCAGGGTCCTGGGAGCTGGCAGACTGCTCTTGGGGCTCAGTGGAGGCCTGGCTTCCAGTGGCTTGCTGGCTCATGTTTTGGGGCCACTGGGTCAGGGGCAGTGACTGTTGGCTCTGGGCTGGCAGTCTTGGAGCTGGCACAAGCACTGTAGCCAGAGTCTGCCCCTTTAAGGACTCCTGGGCTGTGGGAGGGAGAAGAGTTTTCCTGGTTTGGCCCAGAGTGGCCACCAGGCGAAACTGGGAAGGCTGGAGACCTCCTATTTCAGCTAATTCAAGTTAGGCATTATTCCTCATAGAATGAGGTTTAACTAACTCAAATTAAGTGCCCTGCTATTTTGAATTTAATTCAAAATAGTGGTTTGCTTGTGTATACACTATGGAACTTAATTTGGAATAACAGCTGTTATTCCAAATTAACTTTAATGTATAGAAATACCCTAACAGATTTATTTGGGCATAAGCTTTTCTGGGTCAAAACCATTTTGCCAGATGTTTTGTCCCAACATTGCCTTTACCTGCCACTCCTGGGTGAGAAGTAATCAAGTTAGTTTGCAACCAGGGAGATTTAGGTTGAACATTAGGAAAATCTTTCTGACTGAAAGGATGTGGGGGTACTGGAAACAATTACCTAGGGAGACCATGGAGTCTTCATCCCTGGAGATGTTTTAGAGGAGGTCAGACAAATCTGTCAGGGATGGTCTTAAATCCTTCCTCACAATGAGGGCTGAACTTGATGACCTCTTGAGGTCCATTACAGCTCTACATTTCTTGCTAATACTGTGAGATACATTGCTACATAGTTGTACACAATGAGAGTTTATACTTTTATATAGTTCTAGGCTTATACTTTTATATACTGTCCCTAGGTTTCCTTTGAATTTACCACATGGGAGAGAGAGGTAGGGAGAAGGCAGAAAATATGACACACCAACCCTAACTATGGCTGATCAGGACTATTTACTTGATCATGAAAGATTGAGATTACCTAAGAGCCCTCATTTCCCATCAGATTCAATGTGAATTGAGGATACTTAGAACCTTACATAAGCAGCAACCATGCTGGGAGGACTGAAAAAAAGAAGCACTCATTAGAAGCATGGAGGAGAATACTAAATGTAAACTCCCCAAATACAAGTGGTCCTCAGTCTTAATTCTCCTACATTCTACCTTTTAAGCAGTCAGCCCAAAGAGCTTTTTGCTCACAAATATAAGGCTATTGAGATTTCAATGTTGAGATGTAGAAAGGAACTCAAGTTCACTCATTTCCCTTCTGGGAAATTGTAAACAACAAAATTAATTCTGCAAGCAACCTAAAAGTTAAATATAAGATTTCATTCATACTTGACTTGGTGGCTGTGAAGCAGTCCTGGGAAATATATTAAAACTAGCCCAAAATAATCTATCTAGAATAGGTTTCCATTAATAGACAATAAAATCTTTCATGCAATAAACTCACACTTTTGGTCTGTGAAGAGAGAGAGAGAGAGAGAGAAAAAAAAAGAGAGAGGGAGAGAACAATACACTGGAAGCTAGTGATCCTCAGGAAGTAGCATGGGATGAAATACCAGCAATATGTTGATAACACACATCTCATTTAGAAATGTCATGGCTTGGCTTTTCAAAGGAGTTTGATGCACTCAGGTAAACAATTCTCATTCAGTTTCAATGGCAGTTGAATGGCTAACACTTGTCTACATGGGGAAATTGATGGATACAGTTATTGTGGAATAAACTATTTTTGGTTAAATAACTATTTAAAATAATAACTTTGCCTACAAAGCAGAGTAGTTATTCCCGAATAAAACACAGCTCATTCTGGAACAGTGTTCACAGTGATAGCTAATTAACTGAATTAGCTAACTACTTTATTCCCCAGTGTTTAGGGCTTATCTACACAGATAAATAGATTGGCATAAGTTATTTAGGATCCTTTGGAAAGTGCCAGCCAACTGCATTTTTCCAATCTTTCTTGATGCTTATCTGAGATCACTATCTAGTGAGGAGCAGCTGCTAGTAGTCAAATACAATGAAGACAGAGGTGCTGCTCATAGAAAGCAGGAAGCACTAAGAACTTTCTTTCACCATAATATCCCTTCCCTGAAGACCATCAGTTCTCAGATTAGTAAACTGATCTGCAGCTTTGGAATCCTTTAGAATATCAAAATAACCATAGCTATAAAAATGCTGTCTTCCATCACCAGCTAGTTCAAGACTATGCTCCATGGTATCTTATTCAGATGTAATCACAGACACTGGTGTCCTCTAGGTTTTATTATTGCAATTCATTCTTACACACTAGACACTAACTGGTACAAAATGCAGTAACTCATCTGCTTCATTTCACCATTCACTTTGGTTTCAAATAAAACCAAAACGCTCTGTTTTGATATTCCTGGGATTCACATTAGCTACTGCAGGGACTGTCTTTCTCTCCATGACCAAAACTTCCACAACACTTACATTGTTCTATAATATAACTAATTATAACTATAATATAATCAACCAACAGAGAGAAACAGAACTTTCACAGGAACAGGGCTAAGCCTGTAGAAGTCACCAGCTCAAGAAAGAAAAATGATAGCATGTTACTTTCAGAACTAAATCTAAAACTCCTGTGAGTTAGCTTTCCCACAAGTGAAAAGAACAACAAAAAATAATATTTGGAAAAATGACAGTGTGTTAGTCTTATATCTGTCAAATGATCAGATGGTCGGTGTACCAAAACCTATATTTGGGTAAAATTTTCAACAACACTGTAAATGATCTAGACTCTAGTTTCTTTTTCAAAATTGACTTTGGCACTTGGGAACCCAAGCCCCAAAGGCTTTCAGTGAAATTGGGCTAAATGTCTAGGATCCAGATTTACAAAGGAACTTATTGAATAATTTCGATACCTTTTGACTTTTTCAGAAGCATCTTGGTGCCAAACATATATTTGAATCAGTTTTAGCTATCTAAAATTAGAAACTGAGTTTTAGGTACATAGTTGCTTTTAAAAATTAGGAACCAAATACCTTTAAAAAACAATCCTAGCTGAATTTTAAAATGGACCCCAAAAGGTTAGGCATCTAAGTCCCTTTGACTTCAATAGGGGTATGTCTACACTGCAGAGTTTTTCTGGAAAAACTACTCTTACATCCACACTTCTATTGCATTCTTTCGACAGAAAGTTGAAAAAATGGAGAGGTTTTTCTGACAGCGGTAAACCTCTTTCTACAAGGAAGAAGCCTTTTTCCGAAAAAGCCCTTTCAGAAAAAGTCATGTGTGGATGTGAAAGAGAGAGGTTTTTTTGAAAGAAGAGGCCTCCAGGAAAAACACAAGTGCCCTGGTGGCCTCTCTGTCTACAGTAATCTCAACTGAAATGCGAGATAGTGTCCAATCAAAGTGGATACTATCTTTTGAAAAAGCAGATCACTTTTTCATTGTGCTTTTGCTGTGTAGACTCTCTCTTTCGAAAAAAAGTTTTTTCAGAAGATCTCTGCCAGAAAAGCTTCTTCCAAAAGAAGCCTGCAGTCTAGACGTAGCCTAGGAATTAGGCACCTAGCTCATTTACATGCTTTTATAAACCCTGGTAAGTGCCTATTCTCATCTTTAAGCATCGAAATATCTTTAAATATGTGACCCTAAGTCACTTTTGAAACTATGACTAAGTCACTGGAGAACTTTAGAAAAATATACCCAAGATCTAGCTCATTAGGGAACTCCCATTAAAGTCAACATTAATTTTTTATGAAAAACAGATGACAGAATAATGTCCCGGCAACAGAGGAGAGTTGGGATTATATGTTCTAGCAATTATTTTAGTTAAATGTATGGAGAGAATGTAACCATAGGATGATTTGGGGAGGCCGTCCCAGGCCCTATGCTTTTGAGGACCCTGAAGCAGCTGCTTGAATTGTAATATGGATGGGAGGGACTCAGGAGACTACAGAGGCCTGACACGCGGCAACAGC